ACTTACTTTCCCTAGTAGCGTAAAACGCTGTTCTAGCAGCAGCTTGTAAGTTGAAAACCAGTCAGATGACAAACTGCCTGTCCTTGCAGGATTTGGATCAAAGGTACAACACAATCCTTCAGATGTATGGAGAGAAAGCAGAGGAAGCTGAAGAACTCCGACTGGATCTCGAAGATGTGAAAAACATGTACAAGACTCAGATAGATGAACTTTTAAAACAAAGACAAAATTAATTTCTGCTGCAACTCCTATATGATAACAGATTGTAAAGATAATTGTTTATGTAAATGCTGAATTTAAATCTCTTGTAAAAAAAATAACTGTATTATATAATAGAGTTCATATGTTGACAAAAAATCAATTAAGTGTCTTGTACTGTCTGCAGTTAAATTATTTGCGCAATATTTAATTTTTTTTTCAGTCATACCTTTATTTAAGTTTTTGCTAAACGGTGGACCATTTTACTTGTGAACAGTAGCAGAAATGATGATTGTTACCTCGTGAGACAGCACTGGAAGGCAGGAGTTTTTCTAAAGCAGCCTTGGATTCATAAACTCTGTATGTTTATGTAAATGACATTAGAAGTATTGTTTAAGTGTTCCTAATACGAGTTTTTCTAAAATCTCATCAGTTAATTTTTAACAACAGAATAGCAGCGGCTTGCTCTCTGAGGCATAGTTGGCAGATGTTTATATGACAGGAAAATCTCATATTTGTACTTACAACATCTGAACATGTTAGGATGGTAATTCTCTATTTTTAGACAAATCAGATTAGTCAGTTTTACACTAAGTCCTCTAAAGCAGAGTGTGAGACTCAGCTGAGGCTTTAAATTACAGCTTCATCTTGTATATCGTGTGAGCCGTCTAGAGGCAGCAGCTCTGCTTGTAATGCTAAATGTGTTTAACTTTTAACACCAGGAATCTGAACTATTCAATATTTGTTCTAGGGTTGGATGCTGATATTTAACAGTAGCCAAAACAGTTCAGAAGAATGCAGAAAAATTATTTACTTTAAATTACTTGCTGCTGCTCTCATGGTTCCTTGTGTGTAAGTAGCAAGGTTTTGACTTTGCAAAATTGTACTGTGACTTAATATAGTTTTCAAGCAAGTCTCCAGTGGCTGCAAAGTATTTCTCATGCCATTCCTTAAGCAAGGTATTGGTCAAACAGCATCCACGTGGCTCGATGTTTAGCTGCGTTTTCGGTAATGTCAGAGGGAACATTTGAACTGGACCCTTGGGAATGCTGAGAATCGGGGGAGGAAGCTTGCGTCTTCCTTTCTGCATTCCAGGCAGCAAATATTTTGCTGCAGCTCAGAACTGTAGCTGTGATAGGCACTTGTGTGAAATACTCAGCAATTGAAATTCTTTGCTTATCGTACCCTTGCCTCTGTTATGAGAGGTTTTGTTCACATCTCGTGTGCGCTGTAATTTGCGTTCGAGAACTCTCTGTTCCTTCTCATGCATTCAGTGGACTGGGAGGCACAAAAGATGGGAATGATGAGGAGTTGCTTCTGGAGAAAAGCCTCTCAGGAACGTGACTTTCTCTACATGTGTTAGGGATTTATTCCTGAGTGGGAGAACAGTTCATCACTGAAGTTACACAGGCAAGGGCGTGTTCGTGCAAAAGCCTAGTTCAGTCTGGGATTCAGGCAGGTATTCTGAGGATTTCAATAAAGCAATAGAGCAAAAACACTGAAATTTGTCTTAACTCCCCATCTGTCATAGAAACTTTAACTGCTTTAATAAAATAAAAAATATTTTTACTCTTTTTTTTTCTTTTTTTTTTTTTTTTTCATGGGGAGGTGGGAAGGAACCTACTTTGCTAGTTTCAGTTTTGGAAACCAAGGTGAAACCATTCTTCTAAAAAAAACCAAAACCAGAATCTAATGCTTTGCCTTCATATTGAAGTAGGGTTAGGTGCTCTGTTTCCAAAAAAAAAAAACCCAAAAAACCAACAAAACACAAAAAAAACCTCAAACCATGCTCCATATAAAAACACTTGGTGGAACTTGCTGATTTGTGAAGTATGATGTGCGAATTTTAGAAGTTCAGCCTTTTCTAACTTTTTGTGATAGTCAAAAATAATAAATTCTGTTCAGCTTTTTTCTATTGCAGGGAATCAGTAAATTGCTGATTTTCAGCAAAAAAACAATGCAGCAAACAAACCAACCCTATGAGCTTTTATTTGGACCTCTTGCTGCCGGTGCTGTTGAAGGTCGCATCTCCTGTGTAATGTGTGAGTAGATACTCCTTGGGCGCTGACACAGGTGCCCTTCTGAGGAGCTCTCAGACCATCTTAGGTTTTCAGGAAGAGCTTAGGTAAATGGGAAGTTGTAACATGCAGTCAGCATTAACTGCTTTAGCTATAAAAGCATTTGTCAGGGTATTAGATTTCTAAATTTTACAAAAGTAGATGTAAATATTTGTATTGACTATTTTTGGATTCTTTATTCCCGCTTAGTGCAACCTTCAGTATCGCATGAGAATCGGATGGGCTACTGAGTCTTAATCATCGATGCCTTAGGACGCAAAGCGGCCGTCGGAAGGTAACAGACTTTGAAGTGTTCGGTTCTGATCCTCTTTGTAAATCTTGTATGCTTGTTTAGAAGAAGCATGGATGTCTGCGGGGACACCTGAAGTTCATTGCTGTTACTGAGATTGCCTAGAAAAGTGACGTGTAAAATGACTTAAATCAGAATACTAACATCCACTTTCTGTCTAAATTTGTTAGAGTATTCCTTCAGAAAGTGACTAATTTGTACCTCATTTTCACTACGTATGTATTTAAAGGCTTGCTCAGAGTTCAGGGGGTGATTTTCTCATCCCTGGAAGGCAGGCGAAGGGCCTCGCTGCCTGCGGGCGGGCGCGGATAAGGTGCGGGCTGCCTGGCGCTCGCTTCTCCGGGCATCGTGTTGCAGCCGGGGTGGACGCAGGACACGGCTCAAAATCCGGGGTATCCATCCATGGGAGAGGATGAGTCCTAGTAATTCTTTTTTTTTGCTTGCTGCACAAGTTTGCTGTGATTTATGTGCGTGTTTACTAAGGGCTATGATGATCCTGAGTAGGAAACGCAGTGGGTTACTGCACGGTGAACTGGGAACGCTGGGTTTCTAGCTGTAAAACGTGTATAAAGTGTAAAAAGCGTGGGCCAGGGTGAAATAAAACTTTGTGCTGAGCGCGCGCTCTGGTTCGCTGCGAGGAGAGACTGGCAGACG